ACTCTACCTTGAAGAAAAATAATTTAAAAAAAAACTTTTTTCTGTATTTTAATAATAAATATTCAGTGCAACTTGCACAGCAACTGGCTATGCTTGTTTATAATAGCGTTTGGTTGACTCTGATTGTTGTGGAAGCTCTTATTTCTAAAGTCATTACTAGGTCGCTTATCTATATGGGTTTTTTCAGAAATCCCTGCCACTCTAAACGGTTACTTACGAATCTTTGACAGCTGTCCCGCTTCAAGTTGAGAAAAATTTGATTCTAGATTGCGAAGTTCAGCTATTTGTATGCGCGGGTTTTGTAAACTGCTGTGCAAAGAAAACTTTTACTTTACTTAAAAGAAGGCTGGATTATTTTTTTGGAGTGAACTGGTCTTCAGTTCATGTGTAGTCAAATTTTTCGACAAATGACAGCCCTTCCTGAAACTAAGAATTTTAAATAGCTCAAAATCAATTAACAGAGAAGTTTTATCAATTTCCTGCAAAACTCGTGGAGAGAGCACTAATTTGAAATGAATACTCTTGCAACTTGAACTTGGGATTAAATTAGTTTCCATTTCAACCCAGAAAGAGTTTTAAAACTTGATTTTGAGCTTTTATGTCAGTCAGATTTCCAAAACTTTGTGTTAATTGTTAGGTAAAGTTTTCACAAAAACTTTTAGACCATAGTGTTAGGCTAGTTAACAAGTCGAGTTTCGTGTGTAGAAAAAAAGCATCCCGAGCACAAATAATGCGTCCCTTTCTTCAAAAATCGGAACAATTACCAGAATAAAAATACATAATTAGAAGAAATAGCGTAGATAATCACCTTAGACCTTTTTTTCAAGTAGTTGTCCAAACAAACAAACATATTTCTATCAGGGCATAACTGTTTTTGTTTCTGGTTTTTAAGTGTCTGTTCTTCTCTCTGAAATTTTTACTGTTGCAGTTTTGAAAAACAAATCCATGATTTAAATTTGTTTAATCATTTTTTAAACCTTAAATTAAACCAAACAAAACTTTCGGTAATCCTAAACCTTTTCGGGATTTATTTTCACATCTGGCAAGGTTGTACCACACTCAATGTCAATTTGATAGTGATATACAGAGCTGATAAAAGTTATACGTACAAAACGAACAAATTGGAAACTTTGAACGAAATTTTTTCAAACTGGGTTGTGATTAGACAAAAATTTATCAAAAAAAGTTTCGAAATTTATCTGAGTTTCTATGGCGCAATTTAATTTAAAAAATTCGAAACCAAAAAGTGTGGACCAAAGTTGGATCTTATTGGTTTTTCTTTGTTATGGGATGAAACTACTGAGTTAATTAATTTTAAAAAATAATATCAAACAAAACATCGTACGCAGCCCAACAAAAATTTTTGAAGGGTAAAATTTCCAAAAATCTGTAAAAGATAAAACATTTTTCTTTCATGGTGGAAAATTGTTTTTTTTTTCTTTCTACACAAAACTCAAAATCTTCAAAACAATTTCCACACCTTTGCGCAGATTTTTGGAGGCTTTTTTTCAAATCCTGTTGAGCTGTATAACGGTTTTCATTTGATATCATTTTTTTATCCATTAACTCTGTAGATCATCAGTTCCGAAATCCGCAAAATAAATTGAGCCATGATAATTCTGGTAAGGCTCTAAGTCTTTTTTTGCTTTCTTTTCTCGTTGTCTAGTCTAGACCCTACTTGAGAAAAAAGTGTTCAGAGTTTTCTATGTTGTTTGTTTTGTCCGGATAATTTAAATCAGCACTGTAGTTTCTTTCTAATAACGCAATTCAGCTATAATCTTTGTCACTTACGAAAAAAATCCAAAATCACTGTCACCTCATCCGTAATACGACAACTTGCAGGAAAAGACGACACATAACAAAGATAGCCGGTTATCGTGCAAGTAGTACAGAATGTTGCGAACGTAGTCTTGAAAAAATACTTTTTTTTTCCAATTCTGAGTGTTGTGATAAAAGAATCTGACCAAATAGCCAGAACTCAAGCATATTCGAAAGTCATAGCAACATTTCCATTTGGTCAACAGTATATATAGACTATAGACACATGAGTAGAAAAACAAAAAAATTGTCAAAAAAATTCAAGGCAAATTTTAAAAATATTTTTTTTTGCATAAATAAAAGTTTTTAGTTCGCGAAATGGCACCAAGAAACTCCAAAAAACTATCTTTACTCGGTTGATAAAAAAACTTCCCTTCTTAAAGTAAGCAACGAATCAGCTATTGTAGGCCTGCTCGTTTGCTTTATTTGCTCGAACTCAGAACAAAAACTACAAAATTTAAACCTCTTTTTTCTCAATACTGGAGCTTTTGAAAAACTCCTGTTTTTGAAAAAGTTTCTAACGTTTTTCAAATTGCGACTGTAAGGGCTTAACTATGATATATCATATGATATACAACACCCAAACTCAGAGTCTCTACTCAATTTAAATGATTGGGTTATTAAAAAATAACTCGCATTAGAAGACAACTTGCAGAGAACTCACCACTGCAGTCGCGTCAATCTGCTGCGAGCTTGCCAACAAAGGGTAAGGTATTGTACAAAAATTAACACCGGCAGCCTTAAAACAGAATTATAAAGTTTCTAAACCAGAGTCACTTACGAGTTGGATCCAAAAAAAATTATTGCGATAATCAATCCAGTTTTGATTTTTAAATAATTAAAACTTGCAAAAAAAGGAACCTCAGATTAAATATGAAATAAATAAATTTTCGAGAGTTGTAAAAAATGTTTCAGACTCAAAACAGGCAGCCCAAACAGTTTTTTCTTTTTCCGAAATTCGGTTTGGGTTCGGGACTCGGATTCTCAAGTACTTGTTGATCCGACTGCTCAAAATGATAGCATGGATTTATAGCCTAGTGTGCAATTTTGTTATACGTTTTCCGGTACCCTATAAACTTTTCAGGTGCCTCAAAAAGGCCATCTAATGTATTCTTTATTATTCTATTTAAAAAATTTTAAAAAAAATGGTTTTCAAAAAATTCTGTCACTGTTGAGAAAAATTAGAGTGACTGTTTTATAATTGACGATTTGTGCTAGATGGGGATTTGGAATTTTCAACCAGACTTTGGAGTCAAAACACCAGTCCATTACCTGATTTTTAGAGCTGTTAAAACCTATACAAAAACAATTGGAGCCTAATTTTAAGGCAGATTCAAGAAAATGGTACAAATTTTTGGATCAAATATTTTGAAAATTGAAAAAAATCCGTCTTTGTTGCGTGATCTACCATTGTCGGAACATTCAGTGCTGCTTGAGCAGCAACTGGCTTCACATCTCGACCTTTTTAGTAGTAGGTGAAAAACTATTCGGAAGAGCTACTAGCTATGCCCAATTTGGACTGACCGTGAATGCGGTTTGATTTGCTAATTTCCTGTTGTGATTTTAATAAAAGTTAAATAAAAAAGTATTTTTGCGGTTACTTTTGTAAAACTCAGGCCAGTTTCGGCAATTGGATTAAATGTTTTTGCACTCCACAAGTATTCACACTCCAAAATAGAAATCGACTCCATAAGTTCAAACGTAAAAAAATATATATTTCACCTGCCCTCTAAACAGTTCCTAATTAAATAATCAAGCTAACTGTTCAGATTAATTTTCTGTTCGACTCTGTAATTACCCTGTATTGTTAACACCCCTGTTGTTTATTGGCTGTTAAGTGTACCAAAAGTGCAAAAAAGGCTATACAGGACAAACGGAACATTCAGGGCTTTGCCCTGATGTGCAAACAAATTTCTATACAATTTACGCAAGTATTTTTAACTTTAATTCAAGTCATCGACATCGTGGCCTTTTGAAAGCTATTGTTTCGATCACAGAAGGGAAAATTTTAGCTAGAAGCAATGGGGAATAAAAAAAATTTTCATTTCCTGCAAAAAACAGAACCTTTAAAAAGATAGAAAAAAAAATAAAAATAGCTTTCGATTTGTATCGAGCTTCTAAACTAAAAAACAAAACGTTAACACATATGTTTAGTCGCTGCCGCATTAAAAAAATCTTTTTATTCCTGAAAGACTCTTGCCGTATTTTAGTCCTTTAATGTTTTTTCAAAAGAATTTGTAAAGGTCATATATTCAATTTAAAGTGGAATCCTTTTGTTTTTATCGTATACTCAAATAGTTACCAAGAGGTTTGGGAGATGATTATGTAGATTTTGTTTTCTTAAAAGTATTCCCTTATTCAGTCAAAATGGCCCTTTTACCTGCGAAAATAATTTTTTTTCCATTTTAAGAATATTTTTATTCCAAAACGAGAAGTTTAAGGAATTGAAGTTGAGGTTTATTTTTTGTACAAATTTTTTGAAAATTATTAGTGGCAGGAATTGGTAATTGCTTTATCATCAATTTTTCAGAAAAAGTATCGAATTCAATTTATTGATACAAAAAAAAATTGAACTATTGAAATATATTTATTCCATTCCAAAAAAAACTCAAATGATGAATTTTCTGTTTTTTAAAATTTTGCTGGCACTGATGTAAATTTTTGTGTTGACCGACCAGTTAAAAGTATAATGGCTCACATTTCGCAACTAACAACCACTACAGTTCTCATATAAAATTAGGTTCACTGAAAAAATATGCTATACCAAAAACTATGTAAGACAAAATAAAATGTAGACTGAGCTTTCAGTCTTTTGCCATGATACGAGTTCAAATTTTACCAGTTTATATAGGAAGGAGAGATTGTGGGTTTGTGCTGAAAATGTTAATGGCTTCAGTTAGCTAAATTTAGCGAAATTGCAGGTAATTTTTTTTGAAAAAATTATTAGAGAAATTGCCAATTTTGGGAACTTTGAAACATTTTGAACCAAAAAATGCGTTTTTCCGGCGTGCTACCATCTCAGTGTTGAAATTAAAATTAATTGAAGCAAAAGGTATTTCAGAAAATAATTATGGTTAGTCAGTCAAATAGTACCAAGGAGGGCAAACAGAAATGAGGGCGGGGGAGGGGGTTGTTTCAGAATTCGTTTTGTGCTTTTCTACTGTGACAGATTGCTTTCTGACCTTTTACGAGAATCCATGATTTGACCGGGTATATCTCCTCGAACTCTTCGTTTTTTTGAACGCTCATTAAATTGTAGATTCCCAAAATTGTGACTGAGCCATTCTTGTCCTGCATCAAGTGAGTGACCCCTGTAGTCACACATGGATGACCTATTAGCTGACCTTTGACATATTGACCTGTGTGAACTTTGAATATTTTCAGCTGGTTGATTAAAATTTCAGAGAGATTTTCAACTCCGGTCGAATCAGACGACTTGCTTTTAGTCGCCACTGAACTTGTTGTTTTCCGAACTTGAACTTCGTTTTTTCCTTTTTTCTTTGTTCTGGCTTGGTGCTCCTGAATTGTTTTCGTTTGTGCAGACAAAATTTTGTTTTTCTCAATTAACTCCTCTTTGGAAACACTTTTTCCCCAGTCGTACAAATTCCGAACTGCGTCGTGTACTAAGCTCGTCACGAGGTCATCCGAGTGCAAAACTGAAGCTAAACTGTCGAACTTGATTTTAAGGAACTCCAAAATTGCAGACGCCTTTTCTCTGTCAAAACCTCTCTCGACTGTTTCGATTTCGACTAGTTTTTGTTTCGATTTTTGCTTGACTGATTCCATTAATGATTTGCGAAGGAGAGAATTTAAAGTCGAAATAGATTTCTCGCTTCTTTCGTCCGAACTTTTCGAAAGTTCGAGAAAGTCGGAGCGAATGTCAGGATTTAGAAACTCAATAATTACGTCCATTTTAGCAAATTTAAACCTAACCTAAATTGTTTTGTCAGAATTTTGGTTTTGACGAAACGCCTAAGTTGTAGTTGTAGGCAAGTATTTGACAAAGCTCTGTTCTTGCATATCTATCAACTAAACTATTTTGTTATTTATTATTTTCGTTTCCTTGAGGGGTTAACCCAGCGATAGGTATAGGTGCATAGTGCTAGGGGCTGCTAAAGGTATTCTTGGACCTTATACTTCTATGTTTAAGCTTTGCCAATTTTTAAATGTCCAAATGAAATTTCGCTGTGAACACTGGGTGGAATAGCTTTACCTTCTGTTTTCTTTCTCCCCTTGTGGGTTTCTGGGTGCATAGTTATTCAAGCATTATACCTTTTATAGTATGAGGACAAAACCAATATTGTTAGAGCACACAGGCATGTTTCTTGGTAAATTAGATAGTTAGATTGAGCCGTTTTTATCAGAAAAGTAGCTGCCGGAATCAATTCGCCACCCACTCACAGACTTATTGACTGCTTCCACCCAATTCACTAATGGAACTTGACGGAAGCTTTTGACAGGCTTTTGTAAGAGTTGCATAGAAACTGGTCTTCAAAGGAGTTTTGGAGGACGAATTAAATTGATCAGAAAAGAACAAAAGAAACTCAGTGTATAAAAGAAAGAAGTTCAACGTCAAAGATCTCCCCTAAAAATTGAACTATTTAGCAAAAAAACTATAGATATGAGGCATGTCAAATATGATTACCATAAGTACCACAAAAACATCAAAAGTAGCCGAATGATACGTGCCAATACAAATTCTTTTGTTTGAGCCGCAATGAGAAGAACCAGGGGCCGATCTAGAATTTTCTCGAGGGGGTGGACTTTCAAAAAAATTTCAAAAATTTTGTCGACTTTTTTTGTTTCGACCAAATTGATTTTTCGAGCTCTCCCAAAGCACTAAAAAAGTCCCTGTTTTGTCCTAATTTTCCGCGCGCAGGCAAAATTTGGAAAAAAGCCAAAAAGACGTTTCTAAGCACTTTTTGGAATATTTTGACAAAAAAATTGCGTTTTTTCGGCGCGCGCTCCACCCTCAAAATTAGTATAGATTGGCACCGAAGGCGCTTAGAAAAATTTAATGGAACCAGATCCAAACCATAGCTTTTTATTGGTTATAATTTAGATATTTCATCTCTATAAAATATTAAAGACTAACCAATCACACTCCATAAAACTAACAACCCACTTATATGTGAGTGCTGAAATTACTTGTAATTTCAGCACCAGAGCAATTTGAATTGAACTTACAACTTAGTTGCTTTCTCCAAGAGACCGACTCGTAACAAAACCAGTATACTCTAGATTTATTGAGACTAAGAGATATAAGAGTAAGATTAAGATACATTCAATAATTATAATTAACCATAAAAAGAGAAGTCATTAAGCGACCGTGAAATGAATCTTAAATATATAAAGGTATACAGGGGCGGATTAAACAGTAAATAATAGTTTATTTCTACCCGATAGAACAGGAAATAATAGTTTAAACTCAACTCTCATACAACAAGAAAATCTAAATGGAACCCACGAATAAGACCTTTAGGAACAAAATAGCTTAGAACTAACCAAAAATAGATTAGACTTAGACAAAAACATTACCAAAAATGTTACACGACAAAATGTGACTTAAAATCTCTCTACGACTCAATAGATCAGATCCATTATTCCGAACAATACGAGAATTACCCGGTAATTGAAAAAGACCTCGGACAAGAGACAATATACGACTACAACGGAACTTACCCATAAGTTTCATGGTCGTACGGCAAAAGCCAACACAAACTTTTATATTTAGAGCTTTATTAGCTATGAATTTAGATTTTCATTTGCAAACATAGTATCTTGAAGAAAATTCTTCACTGATAATTACAGGCACTAAACCTATTATTGTACAATAATGATTGATAAAAACATCCCTAGTCGTTTCCTTAAACCTGCAGTAAATTTAAAAAAGATATCTAGAAAAAAAATGTTTATTGAAAATAAAAACAAAATTATTTAGTAAACACACAAATTGTTAGTAATATATAAATCATCTCTTCATCTCAGCTTCATCACCTAAAACATAACAGCAAATCATAAACCCACTAACATCATCAAAGACTAATATACAAAATTTCAAATTAAATAAACCTTAACTTAATTTATAAAGGCCTCTCCGAATTCTTATTTCCATTTAACTTAAACCTTTTTAAACTTAACAGATCATCAAAGCTTTCCTTGGATCTTTAATTCACTTTTACCTAAGTTAAATTTTAACAAACCATTTAAACAAACCTTCCACATCCCAGATATGAACACAAAATTATTGGAATTCCATTCATCACTAAAAACATACCAACCATCAATATATTGGACAGCAAAATTATTATAAAAGATAAATATACAAGAATGCATAACACCGCTTTAACATTCTTTCAAAGAATGAACAAAAAAACACCATTCTTCTCAAAATTTTATCCCATTTATGTGAAGAAGGAAAACATCTTAAACCACTATGAATTTCAGATCAAACAAATTCATCAATATGACAAAAATCAAAAGAGACAACACCTCTCTATGTCTGACCTTGAATTTAGACCAATTCACAAATTTTTTCGAGTATTAATTTCATCCATAAAATACATGAAAAACTCAAACTCTGACATTATTTCTCTACATGTAAATAATAATTCACCATAGAAAATAACCCTACCTCTAGGACTCCTAGGATATTGTGAAACTAATGCAACGATCCTCCCACAAAAGAAGTAGCATATAGAGTGATTAATATATCACAACTATTAGATATATGACAATCCACAATTCTTGACGAAGAATTATCAATAAATAATATAATAAGCAACAAAAAAAAAAACACAGAATATTTCACAAAAACACCTGATTTTGAACCAACTTTCAAAATATCACACTATACAGAACAACAACAAAGATTCTTGACAATGTTCAATTTTCAAATAACACAGAATGAATTTGACAAATTAGCCGATTTACTATTAAGATATCAAACAAGTTATGCCACATCTAAGTTCGACGTTGGAAAAACAAATTCACTACTACATCTACCCGTGAAACCTGACGCAGTTTTCAAAAAACAAAGAGCAAGCAAAGTACCAATCCACTTACATGACAAAGTTAATAGATTAGTTGACATTCTAGAACAATATGAAATCATATCTCCAGTAAATAAAGAAGAACAACCAAAAGGAAACACTTTTCTCAACCCTGTTATTCTTCTAGCCAAAGGAGAATCACTAAAAATAGTTCTAGACGCTAGATATCTCAATTCACTCATTGATGAATCTAAATGTAATTGGCCAAAAGAACCAATTTAAGTAATTCTAACAAAAATAAACGGTAAATATTTCACAACCGCAGACATGAAAAGTGCATATACTCAAATGCCCCTAGATGAACAATCGCGACGATTGACACAATTTGTTGTTTGAAATCGGCAATACTAATTCAATAGTTTATTATATGGCATATCCATAGGACCAGCAGCTTTCTCAGCAAAGTTTTTATAGCACTTATACTCAAGAAAAATGCAATTACAAACTTAGACGATGTCTTTAAGCAATCACAAACCAAATATGAAATGTTCGCAGTTCTAGAAAAGTATCACCAAATATTACAAAACGAAAACATGAAAGCAGCCCCAGACAAATCTTATTTTTTCTTAACACGCGTAAAATTTCTTGGACACATTATAGAGAAAAACAATATAACCCCATTGAAATCACGTATAGATGCAATCCAAAAACTCCAGCCACCTACAAACAAAAAGAAACTCCAAGAACTTATTGGAATGATAAACTTCTTAAGTAAAAGGTCTATAAAATGGAGTTATACTTAAGACCATTTGATAACATTCTTAGACAACAAAATAATTTTGAATGGACAACAGAACATCAAACACGATTTGAAGTAATCAAAAAACTTCTCACCGAACAAATTTCAAACACAATTCCAGATCCCAATCAACCATTTTATGCAATGTGCGATGCTTCAAAATTTGGCATCGGTGCAGCATTACTACAATCCCACAATGGAACAAATAAAATGAATCTCATATCTGCAAATTCTCCCCTATTTACACAAGCTGAATTACGACTCTCTACTTTTATGAGAGAATGCACAGCTATCATATATACTCTTATAGAATATGAATTTTTGATACTTGGATCAAGACATCCAACAGTTTTGTTTACGGATCACAAACCTTTTATATTTCTTTTTACACAAAAACCAAATCCAAATCATAGAGTTTACTGATTTCATTTAATTTTTATTGAAATTTGCAAACTTACACATAGTATGGACATTAGGAAAAAACCTTGCACCACCTGATAGTCTTAGTAAAAATACACCACCTGAACTACTAACAAGAGAAACAACAGTTGAAATACCACAAAATATAAAATTCTATCTTGCTAAAGATGAAACTTCACCACGATTGCAATGTAAAACTGCAGTAAAAACTGACATAGATCAATCACAAATAAACAATCTACAACATTTTCCACTCTATTTAGATTGTCAAAACAACCACTATGAAGTTGATTTTTTAGGCACATCTACATTTAAGCCGATTCCATCTTCACATTGGATCAAAAACAATACTTAACAAAAACGAATTAATTAACAACCCCATAAAAAAGACCCATTTTTTTTAATAGAAAAGGAAAATCTAACTGATACAATAAATTTATCAACACCGTTACCAAATTATTCAAAATACACGATAAATCAAGTTTTTAATCTACATGAACCACTTGACACAATACCCCTATCAAAAATAGAAGTAGAAAACATTTTTCTACCAAAAACAGAAAAAATTACACAAGAATTATTACAAAAATATCAAAACCTCGACCCAGTCATCAGACAACTAAAATCATGGCACAAATATAAAACTAAACCAACCAAAGCTGATACCACAATCTTAGGAAACAAAACACTCCTTAGATACTTCAGAAAATTCAATAAAGGAAAATACAATTATTTTAGAATACCAAACACCTGATTCTAAAGTACCTTGTCTACCTTTAAGTATGATATTAATAGCATTCAATACTTCACATACCCTACACCTTAAAGGACATTCAGGATCAGAAAAGACATACTCTAATTTTATCCAAAA